AACAAAGCCTGTACTACCCTCTTTTCAGGAGGACAGAAAACCAACCCTAAGAAGGCCAGGAATAGCCCCCAGTCAGTTGTATGCTGACAGGGCTCTTCTGATCTCCCTTGAGAGAAGAGCCACTCGGCTCTTTGTCTCTTGACTTGTTTTACAATTATTTACTCTGCCCACTGAAATCTGATTGGCTTTAGCACCCTGGGCTCAGTGGCATTATTCACCTTGCCATCACTCTAGTGTCAGAGAATCCTACACTCTTTCTAAGGATCCAGGCTTGAGAAGCAATATTTTCTAAAAGTCTTTTCAAAGAGAATTCATTAAATTATTTTGACTTCACATGTTCTAAAAAAGAGATTTCATTGATGTTTCTCTCTCTCCCTTCCTCTCTCTTTCTAAAATCAATAAAAACATATTAAAAAATAAAAAATTAAAAAAATAAAGGATCTGTAGCATAACCCAGAGTGAGCAGCTGGGCTTCAGCTGACTCAAGAAAGAGTGAAACTGTTGCAACCCAAAACCCAACCCCTTTTGAGGTTCCCACACTGCCTCTGCTAGACCATGATGAGGTCCTTGAGGGAGAAGCATGCCTTGGTCCATGGAGCACAGGCCTGGCCCAGAGAAGCCTCTCTAAAAGTTTGTTTTGTCAAAGAACAAAATGAACACTGCAGCACATTAACAATAAGATCATTTGTGTCAATCTTTGTAATAATCACTGGAACAAGAGATCCTTTATTTCTGTTCTCTACTAAGTAACTGCTTAAGAAACAAAAAACTTTGAACACTTAAAAAAAAAAAAGTCTCATGGATCCTAATGGTTTCTATAGGCTCTCCCAATATTATCTTTTTAGCCCCTCTTTCAAAGCACAACTTATAAAAGGTTTTTAATCCCCACATTGTTTACTGCTTCAAAAGCAGGATCAGAAAAAGGAGGGCACAGACCAACTTGATTTTGTAAAATTAAATTCAGAAGGAAAAAAAGGTACACGTCTAAGGTATTTAAGTCACTGTTACCCAATTCCTAATCTCCAGATCCAGGGGGAAGGTAAATTCAGGGGGTTAGAAAAGGCCTCGGCTAAGCTGGCATTTATAAAGCATTTTGGCAGTGCTCTGCCAGGCAGTCTATAATTAGTGAGTATGCATCAGAGGCTTAAAATGAACTCAGAGTTTCAGAAGCCAACAGCCAGTCCCCCCAAGCACTGAGCTGTGTAGCCATGGGGCTACTGCTGTCTAGAAAACAGCGCTGGGTGCCTGCCACTGAGTGCACGTGTGCATGCACACGCCAGTTCTGAAGAATCTTTTTTTCAAAGCTCTAATGGCTTGACCTCAACACCTGCCGCACTTCCTGAAGACAGACAGGCTTGGGAGTTCCACTTGTTCCTCGCACGCGGCTGCACTTTCTAAGAACAACTGCACACACGCGAAGGCTGGCCAGCTGCCAAGGCAGGGGCAGCCCAGACGCTCTGGCCTGAACTTTCCCAGTGCTGTCAGGGCGGGATCCCACTATAAGCTGACTCATCGGTCAGCATGGAACCCTGCCAACCACCCAGCAGTGTGGGGGCTGCTGGCAACTCACAGATGTTTTGCTAAACCAGAGCAATCAGCTGGGAGGCAGGTCTGGGCTGGCGGCCAGGTTGCTGCTGTCGTGGAAGCTGGGCTTTTCTGATCCTTGTCCTATCTCTGTCACTTCCTCCCTGGAGATCTGAGGGAAAACCTTGGTGTGTCTCAGCATCTTCCCTCAGAGCAGGTCTGTACAGAATCAGCAGAGGTGGCACTGATATCATTAAAGAGCACCTGGAACCCAGGCTGGTTGCTCAGTATTTAGAGCGTTGGCCTGCTGACAAAAGGGTTTGATTCCCAGTTAACGACACGTACCTCAGTTGCAGGCTCGATCGCTGGCCCCGGTAGGTGCCAATGGGAGGCAACCAATCAATGAGTCTCTCTCACATTGATGTTTCTATTCCCTGCTTCCACTCTCTAAAAACAATTAATGGGGGAAATAGAGGATTAAAAAGAAAAAAAAGAGCCCCTGGAGCACTACTACCAACCGAATGCTAGCTCAGTTAATCCTCACGACATACTCCTGTCCTCCTATTCCCACAGCAGGCCTGATAGAAGTCCTTCGAATGAAAGAACTTTCAGTTACAGACTCTCCCCAGCAGCCCATTCTAGGCTCCCTACAGACTGTATCAGAATAATACATGAAAATTCAAAGTCTGTAAAGCATTACAGTGTGCTGTCATAAGTCAGGAAAGAGAAGAGAGAAAGGCCAGAAACCTTTTATTTTATTAATATTTTTTGCTAGCCCTAGCTGGTTTGGCTCAGTGGATAGAGCATCAGCCTGTGGACTGAAGGGTCCCAGGTTCGATTCTGGTCAAGGACACATGCCTAGGTTGTGGCTTGATCCCCAGCAGGGGACGTGCAGGAGGCAGCCAGTCAATGATTCTCTCTCATCATTGATGTTTCTATCTCTCTCTCCCTCTCCCTTCCTCTCTGAAATCAATAAAGATATACTTAAAATATATATATATATTTTTGCTATCTCTCTCATTTTACATTTCTTTTCAATTAACAAAGAAGGTGCCATCTTTCACGGGTGAGACCTGTCAGGATGTGCTAATGTCCCCTGGTACACTCTGCACTCTCTTCTGCTTGTGTTCAGTCACTCTTTCACAATGTGGCACTTCTTTACCAATGAGTTCAGCATTGGATCACACAAGAGAAAAGGTATGTCAACTGGAGAATGAAAACATTATGAAGCCATAAAATGCCTTTACTCACCTTCTAAATTTTTTTTTCTTCTGTTGGCAAGTAAATTCACAAAATATTTAAATATCTGTTAGCAAGTAAGTTTGATAACTTCTGTAAATTTTTCATAAGGGTGTTATGATTGCCATTTCACAATCAGTGACTACAATAAAATTTCCCTTTTAAGCCACTAAAAAATTTAAAAATCTGTGAGAAGACACAGGCTCAGAGAGATGAAGAGTCCTAGTCAGCCCTAGCCAGTTTGGCTCAGTGGATAGAGTGTCAGCCTGCAGACTGAAGGGTCCCAGGTTCGATTCCGGCCAAGGCACATGCCTGGGTTTCGGGCTCAATCCCCAGTGGGGGGTGTACAGGAGGCAGCCAATCAATGATTCTCCCATCATTGATGTTTCTATCTCTCTCTCCCTCTTCCTTCCTCTCTGAAATCAATAAAGAAATATATTTAAATTAAAAAAAAAAGAGTCCTAGCCAGTGTGGCTCCAAGGTGGAGTGTCGACCTATGAACCAGGAGGTCATGGTTCAATTCCCAGTCAGGGCACATGCTTGGGTTGCGGGTTCAATGCAGGAGGCAACCAATCAATGATTCTCTCTCATTATTGATGTTTCTATCTATCTCTTCCTCTCCTTTTCTCTCTGAAATCAATAAAAATGTATATTTTTTTAAAATCACAGGGTAGCCCTAACCGGTTTGGCTCAGTGGATAGATCGTCGGCCTGCAGCCTGAAGGGTCCCAGGTTCGATTCCGGTCAAGGACATGTACCTTGGTTGCAGGCACATCCCCAGAGAAATCAATGTTTCTCTCTCATTGATGTTTCTAACTCTCTATCCCTCTCCCTTCCTCTCTGTAAAAAATCAATAAAATATATTTTTAAAAAATTACAGGGTAATAAATGGAAGAGATGGGAGTTGAACCCCACTTTGTTGGCTCTGGAAATCTGCCAACACCGCTATTATAAACTCAGATGAACTGCACAGGTTCCTTTATACAAAGAGGCTGATTTTTCAGGTTCCAAAGAACTTTCCTTATGTGACTTCTAGTTGCCCGTGAAAATGCACAGCTTTTCAAAACTGATTCCTAAACAGCACCATTGGACCACATGAAGAGTATGTGCTTATGGGGAATATGCAGATATTACTAGCTTTACCATGAGCTCCCTGCCTAAGCACCAATAAGTCACTTTACCTGGAACAACTTAACTTTGCTCCCATTCTTTGTGAGAGGAAAAATTGCTTTGAAGGTCAGAAAGAAAAGAGGAATTAGAATCAAAGGCTGGATTGAGAACAGATTCCATAGGCTCCACCTCCAGATATAATTAATTAGGACCCTGTAATCTAACTATATGTATTATAAAATACATTTTTATTGATATCAGAGAGGAAAAGAGAGGGAGAGAGAGATAGAAACATCAATGATGAGAGAATCATTGACTGGCTGTCTCCTGCACACCCCACATTGGGGTTGAGCCCACAACCCGGGCGTGTGCCCTTGACCAGAATTGAACCCTGGAACCTTGAGTCTGCAGGTCAACGCTCTATCTACTGAGCTAAACCGGCTAGGGCTATATTTTTTTTAAAGCTCCCTAGATGATACTAATGCTCAGCTATGTTTAAAAATCACAAGCTAGCCTTGGCTAAAATGGAAATTTTGAGGTCTGCCCTTTCCTGTGAAATGAAATCTTGTCTACAAGGCTCTTTGTTAGAAAACATAAACAATGCAAGTTCTTCTTATCAGCTACATTTAGCGGCAAAACAACAAAACTGTCCTTAAAAAGCATGATCCCCTCCCCCCCAAAAAAACACAAAAACACACACACAAAAGAGCATGATCCTGGGTTAGCCTGGAGCTAAGAAACTGTCTTAGGCAAGATTGTTCTTTTACATTATTACTAGAAAAACTGTAATTAGAGTTATGCATCTCATTTTTAGATATCCCTCTTAACTGTTGCAACCATATCCTTCCTTAAAAAGAGAGAGAGAGAGAGAGAGAGAGAGATTCTATTGACATTCTTTTACTTCAAACTTGGAACAATCTATATGAGCAGTACCTTACACATTTCTTTGCTTTAATCAAGAAAACAAGTATGACGAAAACATTTAAAGTCAGATGATGCCTAGGCTGCTGGTCACTGAAGTAGGGTGAGAAGGCATAGACTGGCACAGACCCTGTCCTTGACAGTCCAGTACCCCTCCCTGGCTAGCCTTTAGGAAGAACAAATGACCCCCACAACAGAAAGACTGACCTGCTTGAGATGCTCATCCTGATTCCAGCCTGGCTGCCCCGCTGTGGAGACTGAAGGTGGGGCCTTGGCAACATCTTTGGTATGGTCTTCTTGAGCTTGCTGTCCATGTGGTGGGAGCCCTGGTGCTGGAAGGAGACCAGATTTGGGTGCCACTCTGGGGTCTTGGCGAACAACTTTCTGCCCATGAAAATATTTTGAAGCAGCCTGGGCCTCTTTCTCAGCCTCTACAATGTCATCATCCCCATCCTCATCTTCCAAGCCTCCCTCCTCTTCCTTAGGCTCTGAGTTTGCGTTGCTCCGTTCAAAAACTCGGGTCATTGCTGTGGCTGGAGAACTCTGGCTAAAGGGACCCAGGGAAAGGGCTGCCAGAAGGCCGCCCAGGTGTGGCAGAAAGGAGAGTCTGTGTGACCAGCTTCTGGGCAAACAAGAACTGGGCTTCTCTTATCTGCTGTCCCTGCTTCTCTCTGGCATCCATTCCCAGAGGAGCTAGGTTTGGTGGCTGCTGCTGCGGTGGCTGCTGCTGCAGCGGTTCCATCAGGGCCTCAAGTGCTTCACCCACCGATTGGCATGGCTCTGAACCCTGGGCACAGCCCAGCAGGCACACTGGTTCTAAACCTTAAGTGATTAATAGAAACCACAAAGAAGGAGAAAAAAGGGGAAAAAAAACAACTATGTAAAACAGATATAAAAGGCTTTCTTTTCTCCAGTAAAGGGTATGAGTTCTGAACACTAAACATATGCTCTTAAATCTGAATTTTAAGATGAGTGAGTGGTGGGAGTTTCAGGGGTGGGTGGGTAAGTAGGGAAAGGTGTGAAGAAGAGGAACAGAATTTAAGAGGGGAATATGGGATGAATCTCAGTAGTGATGTACTGCAGGTTTAAAAAGAAGTAAATCCAGACAAAATCAAGTCTATAAACAGCTGTGTTCTGATCTCTCTCCTTCAGCATTACAAAACATTAATCTGTTTATTACTGGAAAGGCAACTGGTTCACACTGTACAAAGGGTCTCAGATTCATTTGATCCCCAGTCCTGATTGGGGTGTGTACAGAAGGCAACCAATCTATGAGTTTCTCTCACATCAATGTTTCTTTCTTTCTCTATCTCTCCCTCCCCCCTTCCCTCTCTCCTGTCCCACTCTCTCTAAAAATCAATGGAAAAAATATCCTCGGGTGAGGATTATCAACAACAACAAAAAGGTTGTGTGTATGAAAACCATAATAATAAAGGAAAAGAAGGGCTTGCTTACAAAAGAGAAAATACTGCTTATGTTCTCAAGCCCATTAGAGAAGGAAATTATCATCCAAGCTAGACACAGAGCTATCAGGCAGACAGAATGATTTTTTTCCATAGAAAAGAAAAATTAGCAAACTGCTCTTGAATCTAAACTTTTCAAATTTTCCAGATCAAACTGCCAGCCTGCTGTACAAGTGGGCTAGGCCATGCCAACTGGACATTATAGCCTCAAAAAGTATCCAACTTCAACAACAAAAGAATGTATGCCCCCCCAAGGAGGCAAGAACAAATGGGAGAATTCCTCTGGAGGTTTTAAAGTTAATCAATTTAAAACAAATATCAATATTATATAAAGAAGTTAATGGTTCTTTTTTATAAACAGCCAAGTAAATGCTTCACATCCCCTTTCTTTCTGATTCACTTCTACTATATTCTGTGACGAATACAAAAAGAAAAGGCTTTTAGGTCAAAAGTATTCTGGGGACTGGTTCATCAGCCTTCTTACCAATCAGTCTCCAAATACACACC